ATTGAACACTCTAAATTGTCCCTCGATGTGATTGTGAGCGCGAATCGTTGTTCGTCTATGTGTGACCTGCAACTGGCTGGCAACCAGTTCAGGGTGTCCCCCGCCTGCTGCCCCAAGACACCTGAGATAGGCTCCGGCATGCCCCCGAACCTTGTGAAGATAAGCGGATTGGAAAATGGATGGAAATATTAAGTTGAACCACTCGGGAGAGCTCTACTTGATTTTGACCTTTTCAAAATGAGCGATATCAGTTTAACATCTAGAGGGAATGAGTCACTGCATTAGAATAGTAATTTTAGGTTTAAACACGAGTGGGAAATAGAGAGCACCACAGTAGGCATTCAGACAAGAGTTCATACATGAAATGCAGTCGAACCTCATTTCAACATACCTTGTTTATGTTTTCACCTCGTTTCAAAGTCCCGATTTCATGTAATTCATTTTCCATTTGCCAATTTTGCTTATAACGAACGTCTTTATAACGTAAACTTCATTATAACGACCGGATTTTTCCCACAAACTAGTGAAAAGGCCTTCGTTACAACAAACCATGGGAAGCTAACTTCCGCCGTGACCTTGCTTATGAACTAAATGTTCAGTCCAGGATCCCCCTCCGTCGCTTAGCAATGCTACTGATCGACTTGGTTGATTGTTGTACTTCCTACTGTAACTCGGCGGCATCCTGAGCACATGGTCTCAAAACATGTCTTGTTTAACAGAAGCAAATCTCGATGACTGTGAAAGCTGAAATTGTCTCTGATTTTCAAAAAGGAGTCTCCCAGATCTCGGCGGCACTGGCAGTTGCCTATGGCAGCTAACATTTGCTGACTCAATGTTTTCAGAGAGGAAGTAGGAATCGTTTGTTTGTTTCATGTCTTATAAAATCATTTTTCCTTCATATACACGTACTGTATTTGTAATTGACATGTTTACACTGGATGGTCAGGTTTTTTACAACTATAAATGTTCAAACTGCATTATCCATCATAGGTGGCGGCCATTTTGTTGGAAATGGTGACAACGAATTAGCGTTATACAGATTCGTTATGTCCCTCGAGATATGTTGTAACGAGGTTCGACTGTACATATATTCATACATCATAGTAATGATTTGGGTAAGTGGGCCATCACTTTAGTACTGAGCTGTAAATGAGATTGATAGACAAGCTTTGAGCTGCTCATAAGCTTGCAGCAGGTGAGAAGTCACACGTTAAGTCACATCACTTAAATGAGATTAGCTGGCCAGAGCAATGCGAGTGGTGAGCACACTTGAGCGGATGTGTGTGTGTGTGTGTGTGTGTGTGTGTGTGTGTGTGTGTGTGTGTGTGTGTGTGTGTGCGCGCGCGCGTGCGGGTGCGCTGTAGTGTACCAATAGCAAATGCATCGCGGCCTTAAGCATTCAGTAGGTCAGAAAGAAGTGTCATATAACGGACCGGAAATACGAACCATTAACCATAATTGTTCATGGTCATTCAGGACAAATTTTTAATGGCTGAATGCTGACTCTGATGTATTTCCATTTTATGGAGAGCTGTTTTTTTTTCTGAAGATGATTATACAGAGGTGCTGAATGTATGTAACAGTATAGTCTTTCAGATGAAGCAGAATATTTTCAAATCCACATTACATCCTTCACTGGTTTGTACGTGTGCTGCTTCCATTTTGTCCAGAGTGTACAACTTTATCAACTATAACAAATAACAGTGGGAGAGATTCTGTTTTTAATTAGGTTACGATGACACATTAAAATGCTTTGTAGGTCACCGTGTCGCACTGATGTAAACGTTAAATAAGTAACCACTTTCTCTGTGGCTAGTCTTGACAGATCCTCTTTCAAACCTGACAGGATCTGTGGTCTAATCCCAAGTGGCCCAGACAAATTCACCTAGAATACTTCCTCCGTTTCTCTTGTCATGCAGCCCAGTGATACTCAAGCTTACACGTCGGACTGCAGCCTTCACTTCTCGATAGTTCTAGCTCAGACAGTGGATAAAAAAGAGCCCTCACACCTAAATTTAAGGGCTGTTAGATAAAATGTCTTCAAACCTTTTAATGTGACCAGTACAGTACAGTCAATGCAACTCAATGCAATATTATTTTTATATTATATTATATAGAGGTCAGTGATAGTTCTAGCTCAGACAGTGGATAACAAAAGAGCCCTCACACCTAAGTTTAAGGGCTGTTAGATAAATTGTCTTCAAACCTTTTAATGTGACCAGTACAGTATAGTCAATGCAACTCAATTCAATATTATTTTTATATTATATTATATAGAGGTCAGGTAAAAATAAACATCTAAAAGAACATGGTTGCACAACGGTGCAGAACCTCTTATCTGCTAGAACACCTGAAATATATTCGCAGATAACCAGAAGCACTTAAAGTGGTGACAGATTTTTTTTTCGATTTATTGTATCTGCCATAGGGCATGACAATGACATCCTAATTATGATCGACTTTCATTGCATAGTAACACGAGTCGGAGTAATTAAGTCAGATCAGCTTCACATTTTGCCCAAAGTAAACCAGACACTTTGGTAAAATATGCATTTTGAGCCGGGATATATTATTTTCCATCCATCCATCCATGAACTTTCCAATTCGCTTATTCTTACAAGGGTCGCGGTGGGTGCTGGAGCCTATCTCAGCCGTCTTCAGGCGGTTTCCAGCCAATCGCAGGGCACACACAGAGGAACAACCGTCCACGCTCACAATCACATTGCGGGACAATTTCGACAATCAGCCTGCCATGCATGTTTTTGGAATGTGGACCAGCCAATCACAGGGCACACACAGAGGAACAACTATCCACGCTCACGCTCACACCGCAGGACAATTTAGAGTGTTCAATCAGTCTGCCATGCATGTTTTTGGAATGTGGGAGGAAACCGGAGTACCCAGAGAAAACCCACGCAGGCACGGGGAGAACATGCAAACTCCACACAGGACGGCCGGACCCAGAATCGAACCTCCTGCGCTGTGGGGTCGATGTGCGAACCACTCGACTACCGGGCCACCCTATATTATTTTCCAATGTGTGTAATTTTGTAATTTCTTTTCCTTTACCGTTTAATTAACAGTGTAAGAAATGTTTTTAAAGCATACTTGCTTTGTCGGAGTTCATAAAGCGGCATTGTTTTTAACATGTATGTCATAGCTTGTTAAAGGAGGTAGCACCTTCAATTACAAGCTGCCATGTCAGGGAAATTCAGGAAATAGTATGTCCCAGAATCGAACCTCCTGCGCTGTGGGGTCGATGTGCGAACCACTCGACTACCGGGCCACCCTATATTATTTTCCAATGTGTGTAATTTTGTAATTTCTTTTCCTTTACCGTTTAATTAACAGTGTAAGAAATGTTTTTAAAGCATACTTGCTTTGTCGGAGTTCAAAAAGGGGCATTGTTTTTAACATGTATGTCATAGCTTGTTAAAGGAGGTAGCACCTTCAATTACAAGCTGCCATGTCAGGGAAATTCAGGAAATAGTATGTTTTGAGAGATTATTTGGACGATAACAGGGATAAAAGAATGAGCAGAACCGCACAGAGCAGATAAAAGCGGAAGGATGAACAAGAAATTCTAAATTTCTTATATTTAAAATGTTGATGATACATTGATTGGCAAACAAGAGAAAAGAACAAATTCTACGAGCAAAAGGGGCATTGTTTTTAACATGATAGAAATGCATGTCATAGCTTGTTAAAGGAGGCAGCACCTTCAATTACAAGCTGCCATGTCAGGGAAATGAGGAATTTCGGAGGAAACCGGAGCACCCAGAAAAAACCCACGCAGGAAGGAAGGCCGGAGCCGGAATCGAACCCTCTGCGCTGTGGGGTCGATGCGCTAACCACTCGACTACCAGTCCACCCGAAATTATTTTCCAATGCGTGTAATTTTTTTTTTTTCCTTTACCGTTTAATTAACAGTGTAAGAAATGTTTTTAAAGCATACTTGCTTTGTCGGAGTTCAAAAAGGGGCATTGTTTTTAACATGATAGAAATGCATGTCATAGCTTGTTAAAGGAGGCAGCACCTTCAATTACAAGCTGCCATGTCAGGGAAATTCAGGAAACAGTATGTTTTGAGAGATTATTTGGATGATAACAAGGATAAAAGAATCAGCAGAACCGCACAGAGGAGATAAAAGCGGAAGGATGAACAAGAAATTCTAAATTTCTTATATTTAGAATGTTGATGATACATTGATTGGCAAACAAGAGAAAAGAACAAATTCTACAAGCCCAAATACTCCAGTTGCTTCCATTCAACATTTTTTAAAAATAACGATTTTTGAAGCAAGCACGTTTGTGCGTTTTGTTTGTTTATTTATTTTCTTTGACATTGGCAATTCTTCTATTCAGCATAATGTCAATATGGTTAGGACAGAATCAGTATGTTTTGAGAGATTATTTGGATGATAACAAGGATAAAAGAATCAGCAGAACCGCACAGAGGAGATAAAAGCGGAAGGATGAACAAGAAATTCTAAATTTCTTATATTTAGAATGTTGATGATACATTGATTGGCAAACAAGAGAAAAGAACAAATTCTACGAGCCCAAATACTCCAGTTGCTTCCATTCAACATTTTTTTAAAATAACTATTTTTGAAGCAAGCACGTTTATGCGGTTGTTTGTTTGTTTGTTTGTTTATTTTCTTTGACATTGGCAATTCTCCTATTCAGCATAATGTCAATATGGTTAGGACAGAATACTCTTTGCCTAAGGAGGCAGAGCTGTTTGGAATACTGTACATCTATTTGCTTTCCAAAATGGTTAAGTTACATAACACATAGGGACTGCATACAGTAGACATTCTACATACTGTTGCATATACTGTACACAACTTCCCACACGAATAAGAGTTGGGTTGACATTCTGTGGAATAATAAGAGATATTTTTTTTCCAGGCACACATACATAAATTACCGTCCTGACCTAGTAAAGATAAGCGGTAGTATATTGAAAATGGATGGTACAGAGGGACTACATACAATAGACTTTCTATATACTGTAGCATATACTGTACACAACTTCCCACACTAATAAGAGTTGGGTTGACATTCTGTGGAATAATCATATTTTTTTTTTTTTTTCAGGCACACATGCATAAATTACCGTCCTGACCAAGTAAAGATAAGCGGTAGTATATTGAAAATGGATGGGAATTTCCTGTTGGAAAAGTAGTCAAATTGGAGCTCCATGTTGATTAGCAAAGGGTCCGAATACCACTGAAGTTTGACATCCTCTCTGAGCTATGGCTCTGTCCGTGATGAGATGATTTCCTTTCATCCGGCGTGCAAAAACGTCTGAAAGTCCTCTTCTTGATTTAATGCGTTCCTCGATGCAGGAAGAAGTTCTTTTGCTGGTGTGCACAGAATTTTCAGTCTCTGCAGTGATAAAAGAATGAGGTTATTTGTTCATTTTTTTCACTCTTTTTTTTTTTTTTTAATAAATCTCTGGTGTGGTACCAAAGTTGTCATGCATGGAGAAGCTTGGTGCATCCAGACAAAAATAGAAGGCGGGGGGGGAAATAGAAGCGAGGCCAGGGATCATCAACCTTTTGGGTTCTGATTGATATAAAGGCCTACCAGTTTGACAGACAATTCTAGAATACCATAGTTGCTCTTATTACTTTTAATTATATGTTAATCCTTAATAATTAATGCTAATCTCAGCAAAGACACTAATCCAGGTAATCATTTCTCACCATTTTCAACATTGATTTAACCAAGTGGGGGGGGGGGAATACACGTCAATATGCAACACTGAATTTTTCTAAGTGTCTGTAAGTGTTCATAAATGATCACTTCAACATTCCAAGGAAATCACAATGTCGCATTACAGCACAGGCCCTCGGGCGACTCGTGTCCTTCAATCCGCAGGCAGCATGATGGTGAAAGGTTACTCGTTGATGTATCTCGGCAATTTGTTTGCTCGTCATTTTTATTGTGATGAACGATTTTGGAGACACGCAACACAAACACGCGTCACATTTCACCGAGCGGGATAATCTTTTAGAGAAATCCAACAATCGAGTCGATGATGGCTTTGGTCAAAAAAGGGGAACTGGCCAGATTATCGATCGGAGCGTGTGTACCCGGATTAACTTTGTTCCTCCTGTGCTCAAAAATGCACAAGGAATCCATTTTTGGCTTCGTACGCCTTCTCTTCTTTGACAAGAATACAACAGCCATTTTTTTCTGGATTTTTTTTCCTGAACAAAATCGGTTACCTGTCTCAGAGTTCCAGGAGTGACGCTGACAGCATAGAGCATCCTCAACAGCACCGTGGCGGGTGTCGACAGAGAGAGGACTCCCCCAATGGTGTAGCCCCACCACGGGTATTCGTAAGTGTTGTTGAATTTAAGCGGTGTGTTTCTCACCATCGCAAATACCAAAGTGCACTAAAAGAAACCAGTGGATGAAAGATATGAAACAACGTATGAATGGGAACAGTTTCAAGCGTGTAATGGTGGCATAGTTGCCATATTCCACTCTTAAATATATTTATGAATTACTTTGCTGTTGTTCTAAAGGCAAGGTTCACAATTTCAAAATCAGATTTTCATAATTTCATTGCAACAATAATTTAACAACAATGTTTGTAATATCGTCACATTAATGAATTAGGGGTTGGATTCAACAACAGGTGGAATTGTTTGCTGTCATGTCATAGCTAGAAATTATAATGCGTGGTAAAATGCATATCACGCAAGCTTTTATAGGTCAAATTTAAAACAGAAAATGTAAATATCCCAAAACCCTGATGTACTCAAGCGGAAAAAAGTAAATACATTTTTAAAATCAGCATCAAATGTACAATTAGGAACACACAAATCCATTAAAATTTGCTGTTCCTTCGGTGTACATTTTTTTTAGGTTTGTTTGTTTATTGAACATAAAACATATACTGTACAGTAATAATTTGACAGAAAATAAGGTAAATAAAATAGTAAAAAGGAAAGAGAAATCAGTCATCATTCAACACAGTTATTATGTTCAAGGGAGTAGGAAGAAGTAAAGAACTTATCTAGTCCTACCCCATGTTATGTGTTTATATCTAATCAATCATTTTTATATCAATCAGAAAAGAAAGAGAGTAAGAAGAAAGAAGTCTCCATTAAGGCTCACACTTTACCCTTAACCGTGATATTTTTACAACTTTTGATTTGTATCGAGATTTTATACATACACATTTTCTCTTGTATTCATAATGGATATTTCAATACCTTTCTCTATTTATCAACTTAGTTCTGATTTATCATTGTATTTAATGTTTAGAATTTATCATTTTAACTCTGATTGATGTAGGTTGTTTGTACTATTTTTTTGAATTTGTTTTTGAACATCATTTAGTTTGTAAATGTAGCTGGCCTCAGACTCCAAAAATGTGCATTTATCATTTAAACTCCAGTTACTCAGGGCAAAAATAAATCCTTCTTTTGCATGAGCGCCCATCATCAAAGATGCCCACTTCCAGTTCAAGAAATTTTCACCGAGAAATAAAACGTAATAAAAATTTGAAAACAAATAATTGCACGTTTGCATTTTCTGGTTTCAACTCATCACACTTTCACAAAGTGTCATATTGTCCAGAAAATGTTTTGTGTGTCTGTTGGCAGCTTGTATCCACTATAACTTGCTTAGTCTTGACTTCGGTCCAGCCCGGGGAGCCAGACAGAACGAGAAAAAAAAAAAAAATCCTGCTTGATCACTTGTTCGTACAACATGTCAGTGTCAATGGACGCCTACCTTCTAATACTTACAGTGCAAATAACCGGTGCCAAGTACTTCCAGCAATATTTCATAAAAGGCCACGGATGATAGCCAATCATGTCCTTTACATTATCATACAGACGATCTGCCCCTTTAGGAATAATATCCTTCATTAGCAGTGTGTCTTCAGAAATGTGCGAAAATCCCATGCGAGTCCAGCCAATGCTCATGGTGAGTCAAATCAAGAGTGCATACCATAAATCCATCCGATGCAGACCGACTCGAGAATGGCAAAAAAGAGAAGAGTCATCCCATTGCAGGAGTAATAGTCGAACAGCTGGAAAACATACAGGCCTCCCTGGAAAATAAAGTCCAAAACAATATTGCCATCACTTCATTTGCGTCTTTTTTTTTTTAATCCGGCATGTATTTCATGATGGTTGGTTGCTCACCTCTGTAACCATGAGAAGACCACCAAGGAAGTTTGCAACACTGATAGCAAGAAGGAGGAGTTTACGTCGACGTTTATTTCCAAAGATGAAAGGGAACGAGTCAACTATGTTTGTGATCAGTGCCTCCACATTTAAAAACTATGGTGAGAAGACAGATTTTTTTTTTTGGTGTGTGTTATTGTAATTGCACATTTTATTTCAACTGAGGAAATCAGTTTCTCATTTAAGCTTGTCTTACCGCAGAATCGATTCCTAAAGAGATGATCATGGAAAAAAAGCAAATGGCCCAAAGTTGAGGAAAAGGCATCAAAGCCACAGCACGAGGGTAAGCGATGAATGCCAGACCCGGACCTGAAAAAAAAAACAAAAGTCAATTATTGTCACTTGATAGCTAAAAAGCTTCAAATTCGAAATGTCTTGCCAAGTGCATTGCATCCATACCGGATTCAGCCACCATGGCTATGTCCACGCCGTGTTCCTTGGCCATAAAGCCAAGGACAGAAAAAACAGCAAAGCCGGCCACAAGGCTGGTCGACCCATTCAGCAGGCACAAATAAATACAGTCCCTATTGGGCAAATACAACATAATTGGTCAACTACTGTTGCAAAAATCTTGACTTCACAACGTTGAAAACCATCCATCCACATGGATCTGTCTCGAAAATTATCTGTCAATGGCTTGATAGAAATGTTATATATCAAAAGTACTAGCGCTAATGGTACTTGGCATCGGTATGGCTGACTCTTCAAGAGTTGAGTACTTGTTCATGTTTCGGTCTGAAAAAAAAAAATGCTTTCACCGAACATCCCTAATTCTCAGTGGACATATGGAGAAACAAGCATTCACACTCACATTCATACTAATAACAACTTCGTCTTCAATTCACCTCACGTCTGATTGTGGGATTGGGAGGAGAAAATCCACACAAGCACGAGGAGAACATTCATACCGACGGAACCCCAAAGGGGACATGGAATTTTTTTCTTGCGTTCGGTCGCTAAGTCGTGCATGTCCTTGCAAAATTTTGTGGTCCCTGGCAAAGATTGCGAGATAAAGCAAACCTTTTTTTTCTTTGCATGGGGGCGTTATTTTAAAAATGCGCATTAATGTACTTCTGGGTCATCTCCCGAGTAACTGAAAACAACAAACATGGATGGCAAGTTTGAAATTGGCTTGAAATAAAAAGACATTAAAAATATTCTTGATCTTAAATGCAGTTTCCAAGTCCTGCTCCACAATTCTCTCCTTCCCCGAAATAGTGTCGACTCTCATTCAGCCGCGCATGAGAGCCTACATTAGCCAAGCTGACCCGGAAGTACAAAAATGTGCATTTTAAAAAGTGTCCCCTTCCGAAAAAAAATAGTTTGCGTTATCTCGCAGTCTTTGCGAGGGAATGCAAAATTTTGCGAGGGAACGCAAAGGTTTTTTTTCTTCCATGTCCTGTTAGGGGCCACATCGGAGGCCCCAAAAAATTCCCAGCTAAACATCCAGGAGAAAGTATCCAAAAATATGGGGAGCTTATTTGGAAATGAGTCCCTTTTTCATCATAACTGTGACGGTGCTAAACTGTTTATGACGATGTGAGACATGTACCTGTAACAGTTGTTGGTTGGCTTGTTGTAGCTACTTAAAGTTGTCAGAATCCCAAGCGTGATTCCATGGGAGAACAGGATCTGACTGCTGGCGTCCAGCCAAACCTGACACAAAGGTATTTTCAAATTTTCAGTGAGCAAACCCTGTCATTGAGAAGTAGACTGACAACAGCTTGTACAAAGAGGCAACGTGATGTTACCATTGGATCGCTGAGCCGGGATACATCTGGGTAGAGGTAGAACTTGATTCCTTCTTTGGCACCGGGCAATGTCAGTCCACGAACAAGCAACACCAGCAGCATGACATATGGAAATGTGGCAGTGAAGTAGACCACCTACATTGAACCAACAAGGAATTTATGACTTTTTTTTTTTTTAATCACTTGTGTGCTGTGAATACTGCCAACAAAAATCACTCAGATGCCACATGACAAAACTTAAATATCTTTTCAGACAGACATGAAACATGTCACAATGTTCTGGATAGATGTAAATCATTCGGTATTTGTGCTAATTCGAAAATATCACATTTTTATCTTGTGCTCAATAACATATGTATATATATATATATATATACACACACACACACACAGAGAGAGAGAGAGAGAGAGAGAGAGATTTTCAGACTTATCAAAATAATTAAACACTTTTAATAAATATTTTTAGAGTGGGATTTTCTGTTGGTCATCTGAATATCTTAATATAGTTAATCTAGCAGTATTGTCATCGTCAGTTTAAAAAAAATGTTGAGCCTTTTGTACATGCCAAATTTGAAAAGATCTCAATGTCAATCAGACAAACTCTCAATCATGCACATGTACATCTTGCACAACAGTGTAAATGTACTGTCTCTCAATAATTCAACTCACCGCCATTCATGTTTTTGCCACTGGTAACAAAAGTGTCCTCACTTTTGTTACGCAGGAAATCTACACTGTTATACAAGCTGTACAATGACTACTTTTGGCAAAAACAAAGAAATGTGAACTTTGAGCAAAAATGACCTTTCGCAAAAGTTTTTTTTCTGCAGTTTTCATGACATTTAATAAATGATTGAAGAAAATGTGTGGGGTGTACTGACTTGGGATGTGCAGTATATGACACATTACCTTCCCAGTGGTCTTCACTCCATTCCAAATACAGAGGACACACAATAGCCAGGCAAGAAGAAGACAAAGGGCCAACTCCCATCGAACGTTTCCCACATGTTCAATTCCACTTGATAGTCCCAAAATTCTCCTCCTGACGCAGAGATCAATTAGAAACATCCACCAAAAGACACACTTGGGCTTTATATGATGCTATACTTACTCCCAATACTCCACAACCGAAGATGTGCCATTTTCAAATTCTTGCAGTGTTTGATTGGGTCTGTACTCAAAACATGTGTCTTTGTTTGCGAAGTGAACGAATACGAAAGTCAAATGAGGGCAATGGATGAGTATTGGCTTTCGAAAACCGGTTCTCCCTACCTGTGTTCCAACTGTTGAGACAGCTGGCCCAGGGCAGCTCAGATGAGAAGGACGCGAGCAAGTAGCGGAAGGCCCAAGCCAAGATGATGATATAATACAACGCCACGTAGAAAAGAACCAGCTGACTTCCATATCCTATGCCTGGGTACAGTATATGACGAGTGGACAGATGTTATGGGATGGGGAAAGGATACTCGTATCATTGGAAATGGAGCACACACTGCAATGTCACCGGATAGGGTGGACATCCTTATGTCGCAGCAAATTGCAGATTGAATCGGTTGACTATTTGACCCTTAAAACGACTGATTGATTGATTAATTGATTGACCTTCAAAAAGAGGACAGACGGCTCTCCAGGATCTTATTCCGCCCTGCCTGATGTACTGGCCCAACGATGTCTCCAGGAAGAAGAGCGGCACACCGAAGGTGCAGAAGAACAACAAATAGGGTATGAAGAAGACTCCTTTGAAACAAAAATGACCTTTTATACGTTTGGGGCATTTCTGACGAGAGGGACAAGGTTTAAAAAGTGCATTTTGGCAAAATACAGATCCTCCCCAAAATCAGTCACAACAGTATCGCAAGAAAAAGCAAAAAAGCAATCATAGCAATTTTGATTTCAAATTCAATCGGTGAGTAGGACACCAAAAAAAACTTCATCTTTGTGCTCAGCATCTTTTCTTTTCCTTTTAGTAATGAAAACAACTTCAGCTTCTACGTGTTTACCTCCGCCATTTTTGTAACAAAGGTATGGGAATCTCCAGATATTTCCCAGGCCAATGATACCTCCTGCTGTAGCCAAGATGAATTCCGCTTTCCTGGACCACTGCTCTCTCTGCCGGCCTTTGGGCGCAGCCTCTGCATTGGTCCTGTCGTTCAGCGTGTTCAATTGCATGTCCTCCATTTGGACCAATCTGAACATATCATTGGGGGTGGGGGGGCTTCAAAAAATGTCGTCCTTTACAGAGCAAGGAAGTTGAATGAAAGGGTCACTGAAAGGCAGTTAGAACCATGGGTTAGATCTCAATATACCGAACCAAAGAATCCACTATTTATCAAATTAAACATTCTGAAATTTTATGATCTGGTTGAGTTTAAAATAGCACAATTAATGTACAAAGTACACAAGAACCTGCTCTGCCACAATACCGCTGAAGCTGTTTGAAATTAGAGAGACTTTAGGTGGGTCGTCCCCGGGGCTTCCTGCCAGTGGGACATGCCTGGAACACCTCACCAGGGAGGCGTCCAGAAGGCATCCTAATCAGATGGCAGAGCCACCTCGTCTGGCTCCTCTCGATGTGCAGGAGAAGGGGCTCGATTTTGAGCCCCTCCCGGATGACCGAGCTTCTCACCTTATCTCTAAGGCAGAGCCCGGACACCCTGCGGAAAAACCCCATCTTGGCCGCTTGTATCTGGGATCTCGTTTTTTCGGTCACGACCCATAGTTCGTGACTGTAGGTGAGGGTTGGAACATAGATCGACCGGTAAATTGAGAGCTGCGCCCTTTGGCTCAGCTCCTTCTTTACCACGACAGACCGATACAAAGTCCGTATCACAGCAGACGCTGCATCGATCCACCTGGCGATCTCCCGCTCCTTTCTGCCCTCGCTCGTGAACAAGACCCCAAGATACTTAAACTCCCCCACTTGGGGCAAGATCTTCTCTCCGACCCCGGAGAGGGCACTCCACCCTTTTCCGACTGATCCCAACTGCTTCACACTCGGCTGCGAAATGCTCCAGTGAGAGCTGGACAGCCCTGCTTGAAGAAGCCAACAGTACCACATCATCTGCAAAAAGCAGAGATGCAATACTGAGGCTACCAAACTGCACCCCTCAATGCCTTGGCTATGCCTAGAAATTCTGTCCATAAAAGTTATGAACAGTATCGGTGACAAAGGGCAGCCTTGGCGTAGTCCCACTCTCCATGGAAACGATTCCGACTTAATGCCGCCAATGCGAACTAAACTCTGACATCGATGGTATAGGAACCGAACAGCCCGTATCAGGGGGTTCGGTACCCCATACCCACGAAGCACCCCCCACAGAACTCTCCGAGAGACACGGTTGAATGCCTTCTCCAAGTCCACAAAGCACATGTTGACTGGTTGGGCGAGTTCCCACGTGCCCTCGAGGACCCTGCTTAGGGTGTAGAGCTGGTTCACTGTTCCACGGCCGGGACGAAAATCACACTGCTCCTCCTGAATCTGAGGCTCAACTTCCCAACGGCTCCTCCTCTTCAGCACCCCTGAAAGGCGCTTATAAATAAAATGTATTATTATTATTAATAGACCTTCCCAGGGAGGCTGAGGAGTGTGAGCCCTCTGAAGTCGAAACACAGCCTCTGGTCCCCTTTTTAAAAAGGGGGACCACCACCCCGGTCTACCAATCCAGAGGCAGCTCCCCGATGACAACGCGATGTTGCAGTGGCGTGTCAAACAGGACAGCCCCACAAAATCCAGAGCCTTGAGGAACTCCAGGCGGATCGCATCCACCCGTGGAGCTTTGATACCGAGGAGCTTTTTAACCACATTGGTGACTTCAACCACAGAGATAGGAGAGTCCACCTCAGAGTCCCGAGACTCTGCTTCTTCTAAGGAAGGAGTGTTGGTGGAGTTTAGGAGGTGTTTGAAGTACTCTGCCCACCGACTCACAACATCTCGAGTTGAGGTCAGCAGCTCCCCATCCCCACTGTACACAGTGTTAATGGTGCACTGCTTCCCCCTCCTGAGACATCGGATGGTGGACCAGAATTCCCCCAAGCCGTCCAGAAATCGGCTTCCATGGCCTCACCGAACTCTTCCCACACCGGAGTTTTTGCCTCGGCGACCCCTGAAGCTGCGTTCCGCTCAGCCAGTCAATACCCATCAGCTGCTTATGGGGTCGCGCAGGCCATAAAGGCCCAATAGGACTCCTTCTTCAGCTTGACGACATCCCTTACTGCCGGTGTCCACCAGCGAGTATGAGGGTTGTCGCCACGACAGGCACATAACTTTACGGCCATAACTCAGGTTGGCTGCCTCAACAATAGAGGCATGGAACATGGTCCACTCGGACTCAATGTCCCCCGACTCCCCCGGGACGTGGGAAAAGCTCTGTCGGAGGTGGGAGTTGAAACTCCTGACAAGGGATTTCGCCAGACGCTCCCAACAAACCCTCACAATACGTTTGGGTCTGCCAAGTCGGACCAGCATCTTCCCCCATCATCAGAGCCAACTCACCACCAAGTGGTGGTCAGTTGACAGCTCCGCCCCTCTCTTCACCCGAGTGTCCAAAACATGCGGCCGCAAATCCGATGATACAACCACAAAGTCAATCATCGAACTGTGTCCAAGGGTGTCCTGGTGCCAAGTGCACATATGGAAACCCTTATTTTTGTACATGATGCTTGTTATGGACAATCCATGACAAGCACATTAGTCCAATAAGAATTCCCTTTCACTTCCTACCAAATTTACATTATCTGTTTACATGTTCAATAAACAAATGAAAAAAAACAAACAACGGAACAAACAAGTTGACCTACCATGTCAAATCATTACGTTTTTACCCGCGAGAAGCACCGTAAGCGACGGTATAGTTGTTATTCTGGCATTGCTCTCCAAACAAACAGCAAAAGTGATGCCGTGATCAAAAAAAAATGTATGAATGCACACTTTTAACTGGAGTAGGAGAAGTCCATTCACCCGAGATGAGTCGATTGAAAGTAGACAGCTGTCTTTCTACCTGTATGAATGGCATTAGGCATGAGAAGTGGCCGCCGTAAACAGTTCTTTTTCTGGTGTGAGCACGAAATTTTGAAATTGTCTTTTACATCTCTGTCAGTATTTGACATGTATTTTTGCAAGAATGGGATCATAGTTTCTCTTTTTTGTCATCTTGCATTGCTTAAAAAACTAAAATCTTTAGAGTCAGACTAATACTGTATATGTGAGGACCCCTTGCCCAGGTAGTTACAGTTGCAAGTTAACAGGATGCACAAATGCACTTCACTGCCAGACACAACAGCCTTCTTGTGCCAATCTGCAGCAATCTGATCCTTCAATTACACCGCTCAACAAATCTTCACTCAACCGTCAATTCAGAGATGCAGTACGAGGCTTCTAGATGAACTTCCTTGGGCTGATTCCAAATTTGCCTTTGTTTCTTCTCTGGCGTATCAGGTTTAATAATGATAATAATAAAAATGATAATAATAATACATTTACTTAGATTTATGAATGAAGGGTTATGTTCAGCAACAGGTGGAATGTTTTTCCGAACGCATGGTAGAATCTGTATTGTGCAAGCACAAACTTAAAAACACAATATGAAAAAAAAAATCCTCAAATACATGATGTGCAAGATAATTTGATCATTTGATCAGTCAGAGTCAAAATATGTTCAGGGATAACATCCCTGATGAAAAATTGCTGTTGACTAGTTTGATAAGACAAGAGACCTCACATACCTCTCTTCTTGGCACCAAAATGTTGTCCGTCTGCTTTCATTCAAGTTTTTCACAAATATAGAGGCATGTGAGGAGGTGTGACCCAACTCACTTTTGTTCTCCAAGGTAAATAAAGCAGTCCAACTTGCTATTGTGCAAATCAAATAAACAAGGATCGGGGATGGTGTGGCAAAACTAGTGCTTGAATTAATGAAGGAAAACTTCTATACAGCGCCTATGGCAGTGTGTAATGATGTGTAAAAACAACAACAACAACAAAAAACAACAAACAAAAACGCTTGCAGTACATGCAAAAACTACCACAGTGAATGTGGCTGAAAACCGTTTGGTATAGCAATACCTGAAAAGCCATGCCTGACTAGGGTAATTACTGGTACTGGTAAGGGGATAGTGAAATGGGGTAGGAAGGGATGTCGAACCGAGTGTGGAAATTAACACAGTTATCTATCAATTAAACACCCACAAAACTTGTACTTTTTGCTTCAAAAGTTTAAGTCCATTTAGATCCAAAACACAAAATATTTTTCTGTCCATCTGGTTTTCAGTGGGGCGGCCCGGTGGGCAATTGGTTAATGTGTCGGCCTCACAGACTGGAGGTGCAGTGTTCGATTTCGGCTCATGCCTTCCTGTGTGGAGTTTGCATGTTCTCCCCGAGCCTGCATGGGTTTTCTCCGGGTACTCCGGTTTCCTTCCACACTCCAAAAATATGCGTGGCAGGTTAATGGAACACTCAAAATTGCGCCTCTATACGAGTATGAGCGCAGTGGTTGTTCGTCTATGTGTGCCCTGCAGTTGGCTGGAGACTTGCTTTGTTTTTAAGCGAAAAAGCACTGCTCAATGACGCAGCAGTGGTTGGAGAAGTTAGCATCTCCTTCTCTAAGGGGAAGACCTATTCTGAAGTGATTTTCGACCACACTGGTCTTCGGCAAATTGGAAATCATCATAATGTTTGTGTAGGAGTCTTTTGGCCTCCATCTATGCTCCTGGAGTATCCATGCGTTGGTAGCTGTGAAACAATTCTCTGGCTTGCCCCATGGTCAACTGCTCCAAAGAGTGAAGCCTGTCCATTTTCTGTTCTATCCTCCTCAACAGCACATACTGTATCAAGAAAGAGTTTACATGAGAAGGTTCATCTTTTCCCTTCAAGCCTCAAAACAATTACCCAGTCTTGACGTGCCACAAACCATTGCAGTTTGTGGAGACTGTGAACTTTCGTTTTGGTGCACCTCGGCTCTATTCGTAACTTCCATTATGTTGCTTGACCATGCGGTGCCTTCAGGTGAAGTTAGCGTTCGAGGCTGATGTGAAATGTTAGTCAGCCATGTTGTTTGTCCTTGGGGAAATAGGGTAATATGTATGTGTTTGGACCATTTGTTGTTTGCATACTGCCGTGGCTGACTGTGTGTTATGTGTTGAGGAAGTAAATGATTCTCTTGGGCTACGGTAATATGCATATGATTTGTGTCATGCAATGTTAAAACAACATGACATGGACATTTGAGCCTTCTCCGTTTAAAAAGCTCGCACTGAAACGCCATTCAGAGTCTCTTTGTGTCTTTCAAAATATTCGGTCATTCCATCCCTGGGTATCCATTTCCTGTGCGATCTCAAACTCCCCAATGACGTGGATTTGTCCTTGGGACAAAAGGATATTATTTGGTTGGAACACTTTCTGTTTGCATATTTAGCATACATGCAAAATGTATCGAAGTTAATCTTGAAAAATATATCATAAATAAACAAATAAATCCAGCGCATAATTAAAAATACCGTTTTTAATGACACGTTTACTTTATTTACAGTACTGTACAGTGATGTCTCGCTACTTCGCGATTCACTTATTGCGGATTCAGTGCATCGCGGATTTTTCCAAAGTACTGTATTCAGAAAAAAAAAAAAGGCTGAATGACTCGGAGGTTTTGTACATGCCTGCACTGAAGATGCAACAGCACTCATTCAAGGCGCATGATTGGTTCCTGGTGCGACATCGACTAATAACAGCACCGAGTGGATTTATCCCGTGAGCTGATTGGCTGCGCATCTTCGCAGCCCCACCCAGCACCTTGAGTGTCATCACGCCGGTGACTTTCTGACATCCTGTCTCCTCTGTTGTTTCTACTTGCGTGGCGGAGAGAGAGAGATCGAGAGAGCGAGACAGATGGAGTGGGTGTGGGCCTGTCCGAAAGCAGCAGCACGTCTCTCTCTTCGCTTCCTTCTCATCAATACCGATTAATTGTCTTATGATGAACACATCGGCTGCGCGGGGATAGCTGACCACGAGCTCGCTGGAGGCTAACAGTGGCTACACCAGACATGGGCAAACTACGGCCCGCGGGCCGGATCCGGCCCGTTGGTCTTTTTAATCCGGCCCGCCGAAGGTTGGTACAGTACACAATTAAGGTTCGGTTGTAAATTATTGCATTCATTTCATTTGGACTTGTAATACAGGCATTTAAACGCCAGGTGGCGCAGTTACTTGAAGTCGCAGAGCACAAGGAGGGAGGGGGAGACGATACGGAAGCCCGGAGTAGCGCTAACTCAAGTAAGTCGCGCTCGATATGACGAAATAGATGTATCCCCACCGCTATTTTCTGTCATTGGATCCAAAACGGCGACATGCAAGCGACTCTTTGTTGCAGTGAGTTTTACTGGAATTGCGAACATTTTTACATCCTTTATTAGAGCATGGCATCCAAACAAAGAGGAGCGGTAATGGCCGCGGAAGAGAAAATGAAGTGTATCTCATTAAACGAAGTAGGTTACGAAGTACGAAACATTCAGGAGACGCTTGGAGTCTGGAAGACTCAAAGCTACGAGACTTTGTAAAACGAGGAAGCGATTCTTGCTCAGTCCGATTCGGGCTATTTCCATGCTCAGAGTGAATTGCTTGCGGCTCGACGGACAGTCCAGTAAATGAACGTTTCCTGAAATGGCTTGACTGTTATCGTGCTAAAAACTTTTCGCAAACTGGACCGCTAATAAGAGAGAAAGCGAGTTCCATAACGCTAACTATGGGCATTGAA